GGGTGAAATTGTGTACGGCTTTACCCGTTTTGCGTGAAATTGTGAAATCCTCCACCCCTTTTGGGTGAAACTGTGTAATGCTCCACCCATTTTGTTTGAAATTGTGAAATGCTCCACCCATTTTGTGTGAAATTGTGAAATGCTCCACCCCTTTTTGGGTGAAATTGTGAAATCATCCACCCCTTTTTCTCGGTGAAAAGTTGTGAAATCCTCCACCCCATTTTGGGTGAAATTGTGAAATGCTCCACCCCTTTTGGGTGAAATTGTGAAATGCTCCACCCTTTATTGGGTGAAATTGTGAAATGCTCCACCCCTTTTGGTTGAAACTGTGTAACGCTCCACCCCTTTTTGGGTGAAATTGTGTAATGCTCCACCCCTTTTAGGTGAAATTGTGTAACGCTCCACCCCTTTTGGGTGAAACTGTGTAACGCTCCACCTGTTTTGCGTGAAATTGTGAAATGCTCCACCCGTTTTTGGGTGACAGCAGCCTATAACTTAACTGGCCATAAATGTCCTATTTGACAAACGTGTTTTCATTCATTACGACCCACATGGTGTGTCTGCAGTCTGGAAGCTTCCATATTTGTTGTGCTTTCTTATCATAGGCTGTGCTGCAGTTCACCCATACGTGTGTTGGACTTTAAAGTGTCTGTGTATCCTGTTTTTGTGCCCTGACAGGACAGAATACAGACTTTTTGTGTGTGAGATATATTTGTTTCTGTAAAASTCATTGAAAGCAGAGTGTGTACAAATCACCACGTGCACCTAGGCATGGAGTAAAGCAGCAGTTTCGATCTGTCTGGCAGTTCAGACAGTCAGCAAACACCTACAGAACTCCACGGTGAACTACAAAGCTGACAGGAAACCAGCTCGTCAGATCTAGTTATTCATTAAGCCTGGATCAGATTTATTTTATTTAATGTCTGGTCGATGTGTCCTTCACACGCTGTCTTTTGCAACAAGGTATTCTAACTGGCTGCTGATTAAAGTAAAAAAAAGAAAAGCAGAGGATGTGAATAACATGTTTTTATCAAATCAAATCAAGCCCAAATAATTACAGTATTTTAGGTTGTTGCTAGTATTTTTAATAGCAGCAGTACCGGAAAAAGAAAAGGGTTGTAAACACATTTTTCTGTTAATCTGTGTCTTCTATAATGTCTTTCTGAAATAAAGAATAATAATATAAAAGCAAAAATGCATTCATCGTATAAATAATTTTTCAATCTAATATTTGATTTAAATAAAATAGGTAATAGTTTTGACTTAAACAAAAATACACTAAAGAAATGGAAATTTTAAAACTGGCTGATGTATGAGRATTTTGGCTTGACATCAAAGTAACAAAGGCATTTTATTAACCTTGCTCATTCATAAACAGAGAAATGTTGCCATCTAGTGGGTAAAACCTGAACCTCTGAGACAAACTGATTTGGTTGCACAACAAAGTTAAAAGCGTAATTCAGCAGAGAAAAAAACAAACGTTTAATTAAATGTGATAATAAAGGAGAACGGGAGCTAAAAAGAATGCAGGCATGTCTAATTTTAAGATATCAGCCAGGTAACGAAACTGGCCAAATARTTTGCGCATGCGCACAGTGTTGCYCAGCGTTACTTCCGTCAACACWTCATAAAACCGGAAGTAAGCTCAGCTTGTCATGTGATTATTTTTTTTAAACTTGTAGCTCTGTGTTAGCATGTAGCAATTATAAGCTTGTTGTAAAGCCTTTTTAAGACGGTATGTAAACTTTTATTTTTAATACTAATACGATTTAAWATTTTTGTCGTTATCGGACTGTTGTTATCCGGAACTATTAGCGACTGCCTTATTCACACTGTTGGTTAGCTTCAATGTGTTAGCATACTTTTTTATGTATAAGCTCCTGAAGTTTTGGACTAGTTCTTTTCACATGATGATAGATTTCATAATTAAAATATATTTTCTCCACACAGTCATTCAGAGACGGGCAGCGAGATATCACCGCCATGGCAGACGTAAGTATGACATTTAATTCCTTTTTCAGCAGCTTTGACAGAAGAAGAGGAAAAATAGTACAAACACGAGTTATTAAAAACTATCAGCGCAGTTTGGTTTGTTTATGTTGACATGGCTAAATGCAGCTGTAAAACAAATGTACGTTGCTTTGCATGGATTTCGTAATTTGTTCAGTTTTATTWAAAAAAAAAGTCAGCTGAGTCATGAGACTGATCTGTGTATTTATGGACTTTGTTGCAACAAATCACGTGTGTAACTACTGACTAGATGTTTTGCAGACAACCGATTTTAAAAAACAATATATTTATATATATTTGTAATATTTCTTCTGATGCCAGTAAAAACAAAAATTTGATTTTATTGTCGCTGTTCTCGAAATTAAACTGAGCAGAATCCTTCTTAAACATTATTCAGTTCTGTTTGCATCATGACATTTGACAACGTTGGTTTATTGAAGGTCTAAACTAAAGATCTTAGATTTGGTCAGTGTTTTAATCCAGTCCCAACCTGTTTGTCTTTGCAGGATTTAAAGAGATTCCTGTACAAACAGCTGCAAAGGTTGGTGTGGTTGAAATAACACAGTGTTTATCATTATTTCATTAATGTTTCATTTAGAAATCTGCTGCTTGTTTCCTCTCAGTGTTGAAGGTCTTCATGCTGTTGTGGTGACCGACCGAGACGGTGTTCCAGTTGTTAAAGGTGAGAACGCAGCCGAGTCACTTGTTACTTGTCTTTTTTCATCACTGCTCCAGTTAAATCACATAAAACTGGATTTTTTTCACTGCATTGGCAGCATGTTGAGTTTTCTTTTCTCCACATTTAGAGTAGAGTAGAAACGGCCTTTATTGTCCCGCCCAGGGGAAATTCAGGTGTCAGAAGCAGCATCAGAGGTTCACACACTAGTTTACAAGCTATAGAAAATGAACAAAAAACAAAATTACCTAGCAATGATACGACTACTACTAATAAAAATATAATACAAAAGATTGTGCGAGAATAAAAAAAAGATGTGTTTTGTTTTAGAGACTGCAGTTACTTATCAGAATTTGACATTAGAAATCAGAATTTACCTATTTTCAGTGCAAAACAATCCCTGTAAAATAAACACAGATGTGCAGTTACAGCAGAATAATTTTTAAAGTTTAAAATGGGTAAAAACAGAGCAGCTGATTGCTCAGATGAGTGCTGACAATAAATAATAACAGTACAAATGATTGTGCGAGCAGCAGCAGCAGTCATGTGAAAGGGATTCGTTTTTACTGATGCAAGAGACACAAATATGTTGTTCTGACAAGAGCAAAGCTGGAGCAAAAATTAAATAATTATGTGGCATTTAGGGTTTATTTGATCAGTTTCCTTGATTTTGGTTAATGTCTTATTTTCTAGATGGACTCTTTAAGAAAAACTATTTTTGTTTGCTGTTGATTCTTTTTCATTTTCTGCTTAAAGAGTAACTTACCCCAAAATTAACTTTTTTAGCTGATAAACTGTCTAGAATGTGTCTAAAATGTTA